ATTACTGTCTTGAGAGTCTGCTAAGATTTACATACATACATTTTTGTTCTTTGTCATTTGAGATACTTGTGCATTGTTTGCTTTCCTGCTATCAATATGCCAAGAATTTTCATGACCACTTAATAAAATAATAATAAGAAAACTTTATTTGTAGAGCACCCTATCTCCCCGAAGGGACTCAGTTTATATAGTTCATCTCATAATGTTCACAGCAATTCTGCTGATAAGATAAGGTGTAGTGATTGCCCATCCAGGAACAAATAGGGATAAGCACTTATTAAATAGGGATTATCACTCTACACCAATTCTCTCATTTTTTTTTTAAAAAAAAATGGTTTGTTGTTCATTCGTTCAGTCGTCTCCGACTCTTCGTGACCTCATGGACCAGCCTACGCCAGAGCTCCCTGTCGGCGGTTACCACCCTCAGCTCCCTCAAGGTCAGTCCAGTCACTTCAAGGATGCCATCCATCCATCTTGCCCTTGGTCGGCCCCTCTTCCTTTTGCCTTCCACTTTCCCCAGCATAATTGTCTTCTCTAGGCTTTCCTGTCTCCTCATGATGTGGCCAAAGTACTTCAACTTTGTCTCTAGTATCTTTCCCTCCAGTGAGCAGTCGGGCTTTATTTCCTGGAGGATGGACTGGTTGGATCTTCTCGCAGTCCAAGGCACTCTCAGCACTTTCCTCCAACACCACAGCTCAAAAAAAAATGGTACCAAGGTGGAAACATAATGGCAGAAAAATGCATCTATTAATATGCTGAATTTGCAAAATAAGAATGCAAAATAATAATGCACTGATTTATCATCGAATACATGATACCTAGGTTTGAGAGATTTTAATGTGGCCACCCTGATTCTTTACAACTTTCTGCCAACAGCATTGAATGCACATGGAGCTTCATTTTTCTTCCCTCTTGCTGTTTTTACAGAGTTTCACCAGAAGCACAACCTGCAAACCCTGGGGAGAAAAGTGACATGAAGAGATGTCACAGATATTCCAGGCAGTGCAACAAGTGAGAAACTACAGAAAAAGCGTAATGTCACTTCTCATTAACCAGACACTTTTAAGTGCCTTGGGACCAATATCGGGTTGTGTCGCTCCCAAGGCATTGCAAGAAATGAAACTGATTGGTAGCTGCACAGAGATTACTAGACTTCTTTTATCTTCTCCATTGTGTAAAGTTAAACAAGGCAAATAGCAGACCACTCCGGATAAATTCTTCTTAACACTCATGATTTTAGGAGAACTTCATTTCACCCACATCCCCTCATTGAATGGTCTAAATGTCTAGCATTGCTCTAAAACAGTGTTTACCAAATTCTACTCTACTGAGTATTTTGGACTTCAGCCCCAGAATCCCTGACCATTGGCCAAGGCTCTGAGAGTTGAAGTCCAAGGCACTTATGGGACTAGAGTTTGGAAATCACTGCTTTAGACCATTTCTTGTTTCCAGCGTTTGTCTACATCTTTTGTTACTCACATGAAGAAACCTGTTGCATGTGAGTTATGAGAGAGAACAGAAACATCAAGTAAGCTGGGATCAATGTAGGAATTATATGAACATTAAACACAGACGCACTAAACCCTCCTTATTCACAGACAAGTGTGAGGCTTGCTGTCTTCAGGTCTTGTGGAGAAGTCACTTTGTTTCGTTCCACCAATTCTTGCATTGCTTGATTTTTACCTTGCATTTTTTTCAAATTAGAACTCAGGTGACTTACGTATTGAAACACATGTGGTTAAATATATATATATATATAATTGTGAGTGAAGCTGTATCAAGCTGAAAACATGAAAACCATTTGAAACCTTAATTTGAAAACATAGAATGAAACATAAATAAAAGCCATCAGACTACGAGCCATTACTGTGGACTTGAGCAACTCCTCATGACTTAATTACTTAATTCCATGATAATAACCTGAATTAACTCTGGGCAATTTGGCAGTAAAGTATAGTTCACTAAACCAGACTTTGAGAAACTGGATTGAACTGTGCAAAGAAGACTTGAAGACTGGGCCAGGTGTAGAATGTGATGAACTCTTCTGTTAAATGGATTAATATTTGATTGAAATGAGCAGTGCAGCAATCCTTTATGCTTCTTAGGGAAAATGCAATGCAATTTGGAAAATAGATAAATACATTCCTAACCAGCTAAAAGTGACATAGAGGAAAGGTATATAATTTGTCCATTTAATTTCTACTACTCTCATTATTAGAGATTTAAACAAAGGTTGGGTGGCCATCTCTCAGGCGTGCTTTAGCTCTGGATTTCCTGCACTGATAGGAGGTTGCACTAAATAAACTTTGAGATACCTATCACACCCAGAATTTTGTGATTATCTGATATGAACTTGGGCCATGAGCTTTGAACATTTTCAAATATACTGCTTGCCTGACCACATAAATTGATTTAAAAGCATACATTGGAAGAAATGCACAACTATTCTATCAACAGAGGCTGAAAAGCATGTATGCAAACAAGGTGGTCTTATTCAAAACAAGATAAACTTTGGAAATTTGTACTGGCTATACAGTGAATTGCATTTTCAAATCTCTAATAATACCTTTTTGCTGTTTTAGTCCTTCCCACTTTCCTATTTGCCTATCAAGAGTCTTGATTTTTTGAAACCTCACCATGACGTTTTTTTAGAAACAACACACAGATCATTCTTTGAATTACGCCAATTACAACACAAGTGCAGTTCCAAGTATATAACAAAGGGATTACAAAGGAATTAGTTGGGTTCACATTCCCACATGGATTATTTTGCATCTCTCAAGCATGAAAGTTGTATAAAACATACCATATATCACTCATTTTAAATGGCTCGTATACTGTTGCCAATTTTTTTTGTTTGTCTAATGTTTTTAATAAAGGATCTATTTTTAGAAAACATTATATAAAATTGGTAAATGTTTGTAAAAGAAGGAATAAAGACAAACATTTACCAATTTTATATCTGCTTAACTATTTTCTTTTCACAAAATGTTCTGAGAATAGTTAAGGTAGAATTTTCTAAATACTGTGAATCCTCTTTTAGAAAAATCAGAGAACCACACTTGCTATAACCAAATGACATGATTTCTATTTAACTCATTTATTTTTTAAATGGTTTTGTGTACCATCAGCAAAGGAACTCTCTACTGTCTGATATTTTTAAAAAATCAGATGGTAAATCTTCTTGCTGCTGCTTTGTTGTTACTTATTTGCATTTCAGGCTATTTGGTCTAGAATCATTCTACATTTAGTATTTCACACTAATAGACTTTCACTGAAGATTACAATAGAAATACGCATCTCACTAATATCAGTATTACTTTACAGAACTATAAATATTACTTTACAGAACTATAAATATTACTTTACAGAACTATAATCCCCAGCCTTCACTAGTTTGCCTTGCATATACCACAACACAAGCATTATCTCCAAAAGTGGATGCAGGAAGCTCCAATAGAAGTGGAAAGACGGCATCTATATGAACTGGTGAGTAGAGATGCCATGTTAGAATAATCCTTGGGCCTAAGATTTCCAAGTATGTATCTACACTGCAGAATTAATTCGGTTTGGCACCACTTCAACTGCCATAGCTCAATGCTATGGAGTCCTTGGATTTGTAGTATGGTTGGGCATCACACTCTTTGGCAGAGAAAGCTAAAGATCTTGTAAAATGACAACAATTATATAACACCAAGTCATGACAGTTAAAATGGTATCAAACCAAATTAATTCTACAATGTAAATATATCCTGGGTCACCCCTAAGATCTAGGAACAGCTTTCAGTAAAATTATAGGGGCAAAAACTGGTGATGCCATGAATCAATATGGTTTAACTAGCAACCACAATTGCTCACAGCTTGCTATTCAGGCATACACATAGGCAAAACATATTTTCCTGGTTAGAAAGTAAATGCACTTACAAATATCAGCACTTAGTTTAATTATTCTTTGCAAAGTGCCTCAAGCTGTACTGCCAGCTGGAGGGTTCTTGGTGTGAATAGAGATTTGCATGCAGCCTTTTCTCTTTCCAGAGTTGACCTCATAAAAACAGAGAAATTTAACCCCTATCACACAATCTGATGTGACCCAACAAAACTGGGGACTTTGGAGGGGAATTTTGAGAATGGCAGCGCTGCTGATGTCTTCTGTGCATGCTGCTAGTGACATAGGCCTGTGATGCCAAAATACCATCTGTGAACTTTAAAACCCAGATTCCAAGGCTGGCATTCCATTTGTGACATAAACATTTGTGAGTCATTCTATGCAAGTGTGGCGAATTATTTGCAAAACCTCAATGGGTGTATTCTGCACACAGATGAAGAGTTGACCTATGTGTTTCCATTTTAGTATGTAGCACAGAGCCACAACACATCTCTCCATGTAGATATTTACACTAAGGTGAGGAGATGTTGGAGTGCAGCCCAAGAAAACACACATATGAGATTTCAAGGGAGTAGTTAGGTCAGTCAACTGCACCAAAAATCACAAAGAAGTTTGTGGTACTTCAATTATTAAATTTTTTCATAGCATAAACATTCACAAACTACAGCTCATTTAGATACCTTACCTTAAATTATCATACATGTGTTTCTGGGTGAGTGTTATTGGAATTGAACAGTATATTCCCCATAACTCATAAAATACTAATCCCCCAAATCAAAGCACCTTTATAATAATCTCTAAATGATATAATAATTCATGTGGCAAAGCGAACTGTTGTTCACAAATGCTTATGCCATAATTAAATGGATTCATTTTTAAGGTGCCACTAGAAAATTGCTGTTGCACGGGACTCAAGATCACATGGATGAGTGATATCTGCTCCTAAATCTCCAGTTACTTTGAAAGTTCATGTTGGAATGCAGCCCAAGAAAAAGTTTGAAAGTTCATATCAAAACCTGAGTTATTGGGCAATACTTCTAGGCATCTTGCCACATCAAGGTGATTTTACCAGAACCAACCATCTTGTGTACACCAAGGTTGCATAAAAGGGTATCATTATAGTTGCTTTAGAAATCAGTCAATAAATGGAACACAGAGTGAAGTTCAGACAGGTTCATTCCTGGGTGGAACCAAACAAACTGAAAGACCTAATCTTATGTATACAGAGAAATGTAAAATGATCACTGGTGAATCACAACCCTAGCTCTGGCACTATAATTTATATAATGATCTGGTTAGCACTTTATATAATGATTGGATACATAAGCACAAATGAAATGTACTGGATTGGACACCAGAGTGGTTGCCCTCACTGTGATCTATGGCTATGGAGCCTCTAGAATCACTTACCATTTTTCTTGGAGTTTGCATCATTTGCCTTGTTTTCTTTACATGGAAAAGAAGCCTTGTAGGGAATGGGAAATTACCACCTGGCCCAACCCCTCTACCCATCATAGGAAATGCTCTGCAACTGAAGACAAATCACTTGGATCTTACTTTGCATGAGGTAAGTGGAAGAAGAAGTACCATCTTTGGTAGATATTCACAACATGACCATGGGTGTTACCTAGTTTACACCCCCCCCCCACACACACACACACACATGCACCTTTTGATTAGTAGAGGTTGGGAATTGAAGGTTCTGGGATTAGAATCCTTCAAGTTTATCCCAATTGGCTGTAGTGACTAGATCTATGGGCAGTTGCAAATTTCTGGAGGTCTTCAGAATTACCATTCTCATCTAATAAGAGGCTTCCATGATCCAGAATGTGGTAATCTCTTCATTCAAGCAGCAGCAACCAGACAAATAAAACCTGCTTTTGAGACCACAGATTTCTTTATCAGGCAAGACTTAGATCCAAAATCTTAGAAATATCAGCTGTTGTTAATGGCTACATTGATATCAGAAGAAATTTTGGACTAAGGAATTGTTGGCAAGGCTAAATTTGAAACATGAGAAATCTCTTTTATACAGAACAGGATGCGTAGGTTGTAGAAGGAATGAACAGTTTGCAGTTATATTAGTACATTAATGGCATAAAAAGTGTTGTAAATTGGATGTCTACAGGTAAAGGCATGATGTACATGTTCAAAAATATTTTATTTTCCTTCAAACGTTATGCAATATAGAATTAAGTTCATTAAATGTAGCCTCAAACTTTATATGTCCATTCTAAGTGTGTATGACAATGTGTGTAATGGCATGTGGGAGTATCTCTTTCCAGAAGAGTACAGTTCTGTTGTTTTACTTTTAGAACAAAATTATGCCAGTGTTTATGATGTAATATAATAAATATTTCAGTTCAAAGCTCTGCAGAATACAGTGGAAGAGCGTTCATGGAACACTGTTCTTTAGGCAATTTTCAGTGAAAATTCTCAACTTCATGTCTATTAAGCAAAAGAATGGCTGTCTCGACAGCTATATATATATATATATATATATATATATATATATATATATTTAGGAGTCTTTGTGGACAAAAAGTTGAATATGAGCCGACAGTGATGGTGATGTAATGCTGTAGCTAAAAAAAAAAGCCAATGGGATTTTGGGGTGCATCAAGAGGAATGCAGTTTCTAGATCAAATCATGGTACCACTCTTTTCTGCTTTGGTTAGACCTCACCTGGAATTCTGTGTCCAAATCTTGGCACCACAATTCAAAAGAGATATTGACAAGCTGGAATGTGTCCAGAGGAGGGCAACTAAACGATCAAAGGTCTGGAGATCATGCCTTATGAGGAGTGTCTTAAAGAGCTGGGTATTTTTTAACTTGCAGAAGAGAAGGTTGAGAGGAGACATGATAGCCATGTATATATATGTGACAGGATGTCATAAGGAGGAGGGCGCAAGCTTGTTTTCTGCTGCCCTCGAGACTAGGTTCTGAAGCAATAAGTTAACATTACAAGAAAGGAGATTCCAGTTTAACATCAGGAAGAACTTCCTGACTGTAAGATCTGTTCAGCAGTGGAACTCTCTGCCTCAGAGTGTAGTGGAAGCTCCTTCCTAGAAGCTTTTAAACAGAGGCTGGTTGGCCCTCTGCATAGGTTGCTTTGATTGTGCTTTTCCAGCATGGCAGGAGATTGGAATAGAATTTTTTTCATGTCTGAAGCGACTTGAGAAACTTCAAGTTGCTTCTGGTGTGAGAGAATTGGCTGTCTGCAAGGACATTGCCCAGGGAACGCCCGGATGTTTGATGTTTTACCATCCTTGTGGGAGGCTTCTCACTTGTCTCCACATGGGGAGCTGGAGCGGACAGAGGAAACTCAACCTATTCTCCCCAGATTTAAACTGTTGACCTGTCAGTCAGCAGTCCTGCCAGCGCAGGGGCTTAACCAATTGAGCCACAAGGGGCTCCTATTGGACTAGATGGTGCATGCGGCCTCTTCCAACTTTATGATTATATGAAGCTATGTCTCCTCTTTTTAATCTTTCCCACAGCTCAGTGAGAAATATGGCCCCGTGCTCACAGTGTATTTTGGAACAGAACGTATTGTGGTGTTGACTGGTTATGATGTAATAAAAGAAGCACTGATTGATCGTGGAGATGACTTTGCAGCAAGAGGAAGCCTGCCAATATTTGACAACGTCAACAAAGGGCTAGGTATTTTATGCGATATTGCAGGTGGGAATGGGGAGTATAAACTGATGCTTCTCTACTAGTAAAGAAGATAATTTAAAAAAATGAATATAGCCAAATATTGTTTAAGGGGACATTTTAATGCTTATATACAAGAGAAGTAACATACCACCTTAAGAAATTTATAGCAGGATTGTTTATCCCCAATATCTCCTTCCTATCCAGAAAAAAGCCCTCTTGTCTCCGGATACTTTTGAAACAAGCAAATATTCTTTAATCTACCATTTTCCGATAAAGTGGGGCTTTCTCGATATTTTACAGAAAATATTAATATGAAAATACCCAAACAAACAAACAAACACAAAGCATACATTGCTTCTTGTTTACTTCTTTATTGATGGATGCTCTTCTCTGCTATGCATCAACATGTAAGTGAGATATTTTCTTTCATTCATTAATCAAGGTAATTTTCACATCACAGTATCATTCATTAACTAAGGTCCCATTCACACTTTTATTACAGCAATTACAGCATGATTACACTGTAATTGCCAGGGCAACATCCTATGGAATTCTAGGATTTGCAGTTTAGGGAAGGAGTTTTTGAATTCTCTCCTAAGAGAGGTCTAGCGATATACCAAACTAGAAAACTTAGGATTTTATAGGGTTGCAACCATGGCATTTAAAGTGGTTTCATTGTATTGTAATTGTGTGGTGGGAAAGCACTTTAAGAATGTAATGCCTTGTTTACTGATGGAAAACCCACGTCAGTGAGATCTGAAGTTTTTCCTCCTGCTATTTCTGTATATGTCAGAGCAATTCCACTAGTTTAATGTATCAAAATGTGTGGCAGTGTCTTCAAACTGTTGGTTCTTTTTGGAGTCAGGAGTATCCTTCATCTCCACCCTCCATATCACTTCCCTCTTCATTGACACAAATATTCACTTTCCAGGAATAATATTCAGCAATGGGGAGAGATGGAAACAACTCCGACGTTTTGCCCTCACCACCTTACGCAACTTTGGGATGGGGAAAAAAAGCATTGAGGAGCGGATTAGTGAAGAAACCTGGTGTCTTCTTGAAGAATTTCAAAGCAAAAAAGGTTGGTCTGCCCACACAGACGTTTAGCAAGGAAAAAGAACATCCCTTTTTTCACCTGGGATTTTTTATTTTGTTGAACTTTAGTCAAGCATAAACAAGAGGCAACCTAAAATAAAGCAACAATAACATATAATTACCAATTAGATCATAAAACATAACAACCTTTAGATAATTAAAACATGGAGTTAAAACCATATTAATATAAACGTTAAAATCATATAATTCAGAAATCATGGTCCAAGGCTGTTCCAAATGTCAAATATCAATTGCTCACAATCCCCGATCATTCCTTGTATTACTTATTGCCCAAAGGCTTGGTTTCATAGCCAAGTTTTTACTTTTTTCTGAAGGCCAGGAATGAAGGCACTGATCTAATGTCACTGGGGAATGAGTTCCATAGCCGAGAGGAGGCCCTGTCTCTTGTTTCCCCCAGTTGCACCTGTGAAGGTGGTGGCACCAAGAGCAGGGCCTCCCCTGCTTGGATCTTAATCTCCAAGATGTTTCATAGGGGGAGATACTACAGACAGGTAAGCTGGGCCAGAACCGTTTAGGGCTTTATAGACTAAAGCCAGCACTTTGAATTGTGCTCTGTAGCAGACTAGCAGCCAGTGGAGCTGGCATAACAAGGGTGTTGTGTGCTCCCTGTTCCATACTCCAGTGAGCAGTCTGGCTGCCACTTATTGGAACAACTGGAGCATCTGAACAGTCTTCAAAGGCAACCCAATGTAGAGCACATTGCAGTAGTCTATTCAGGATGTAACCAGAGCGTGGACTATCATGGCCAAGTCTTACTTCACAAGGTGTGGGCGTAACTGGCGCACATGTTTTAATTGTGTGAAAGCTCCCTTGGCTTCCACCGAAACCTGCAGTTCCAGGCTCAGTGATGAATCCAGGGGGACTCCTAAGCTGCAAACCTGTCCAGAGAACATCCAATGTGCAGGTTTCCTACATGTATGTAATTGAAAGCTGCCCAGTTAAAAGTGAATTCTGAATAAAAATAATTGTTGTCATTTATGACACCCACCTAATTCATTTCTCGAATGTGAAGTGGTTGCTTTTGAAGGGTCTGCTATATGGCTTAGGCTGGATTTACACTGTTATATAAAGTAGTTTGGAACTGTTTTGTATGATTAGTGTAGGCCCGTATAATGCCACTCAATGAGGTTCAAACTGTGTTATGTGGGATCTCTTTCAAACAACTGAATAAAATCCCATATGTTCTGCTTTGAACTGGGTTATGTGGCAGTGTGGATTCAGATAACCCAGTTCAAATCAGATATTGTGGGATTTTCTGCCTCGATATTCTGGGTTATATGGCTGTGTGGAAGGGCCCTGGGTCTACAGTTTACAGTTTGAACTGCATTATATGGGATTGTAGATCCAGCCTCAATCAATCACACAATCCAAATGCAATTACTAGAGGTGTGCAAATAAATCAGATGAATTGGAAATTGTAAGCACATTGGAAGTTTTGTAAGTCTGAAACTATTCCGAAGCATTTGCATGGCCCACTATAACGCACAGGCACCTCCTAAAAATATGAACGTGTGTGTTCACCAACTATATGGAGCCGTCAAAAGGAAGAGGGAGTATGGTTGTTGAAACAGCTGTATATTTAAATTTCTCTGTATTTTAATTGTTGAAATATATCCCACTGATTATACCAATATCAGGGGAGATTAGGGCAGAGAAGGGGAGAGACACTGAGCAATTTAAAAGGTAGGAACTGGGAAACCTTAGAACTGAGAGACTTAAAATGCCTCTTCAAATGAATTCCACTGCCACCATTTCAGTATTAATCAGGCTGAGGTAATATTGTGAGTTTGTTCTGTAACACACACTGTGTCACTATAGTTACTTAGTGGCTGCTGTGAAGCTGACTTTAGAAATACTTTGACCACAATGGTACACACACTGAGGCTGGTATAAGTTAATAAAAGAGCAAGAATGTTTATTGAACAAGCTTGAAGTAATTCAGGTACAAAAGCTTAATGGTTTCAGAAAATACTGGCAATAAAAGCTTGTAGTTGCGTTAGAGTAAAATCTTAAACTCTTCTGGGTTACAGGTCAAAGTTCCACCACAGAAAATTACTTCAGGAAATTAATCTCTGAAAGTAACTTCCAAAACTGCCCCTTAGGAATCTAGCCAAAAATACCCTGAACTAGATTTCCCTAGGAATTGAACAGTCCCCTAACTGGGCCCTGCTTCACAACTGTATTCTAGCTACCTACTAATAGCTACTCTGAATACCTCAAAAAAGACTAACCCAATCTTCTTCTCTAAACCCAAACTCACTCTCCCTAACACCAACTCTCCAACTGCTCTCTAATAACTCCAACTCATGAACTGACTTACTGGGACTTCAAGTCTCTGTTTTAAAAGGACACTTTCCCCCTCTAAACCACTTAGGCTCTGCCCCCACCTTTCTAGCCAATCCTAGCCTCTGATTTTCTCTCTAAGACTTGAACATGCCCCCTCAAGGAAAACCTAACTAAAATGGCTCCCTGTTCTAAAATGCATGCCGTGGCTTCGCCAGGCCCACTCCCTTAGGCTTCAGCCAGCCAGCTAAGGTAAGGGATTCATTACACACACACACAAAAACTTCAGAATCAAAACTGACCCCCATACTTTTTCATTACTATTTTGTAAAGCTTGGAAAGCTCACAAGGCAAGAAAGCTTTGCCATTCCTCTCTTTGTAAATTTATGGCTTCTCCATGTGAATGCCTTCTTCTAAGCATGAACACAGGGAACATGGGATTTTGGGAACAGCACAAAACTTGGGAAATGTAGTTTGGGTAGGGGAGGAGCCCTATGCCAATGAATTCAAAAGGCTCTACCCTAAACTACATTTCCCAGGATGCATCAGAATGAGAAAGCACCAATCAGGAGAGAAAAAAGATTTGTGCCTCTGTAATCAGTTAGTTTTTATCAAAACTTTTAAAAAATCCCTAAAATCAGTAGATATATGAGTATTTCTGAAAGTTTTGGGGGAGTGATCCCCTGTTATCTTGTGTCATTGGATAGAAAATTCAAGGAGCTACCTCTTGTACTTTTAAAAAAACAAATGTTATTTATAAAAACTTTTAAAATTGGCCAAAAAACTGTGCATAAGTGAAAGGCTATGAAACTTGATGGGCAAAGCATGATAAATGTGTTCTACCATTGTAACAAGTTTAACCTCAATGGCTTTAAAATGAGGGATAAAGGAGCTCCTGAAGTTTCCCCAATGTTAACAATTATTTAATTAATGTGCATGTGTAATTATTGAAACAAAATAGTTACGAAATTTCATTAGTCTCATTAGAGTAATGAAATTTTCACTAAGTATACTTTAGAAACAAAGCACCCGAGCCCCACAGTTTTTAAAGTACTTTTGAACCATTTTTTTAAGGATTGCATATGCCTAGAAACTACAAGAAGGCTCTTCCTTACTACTCAAGACTTATAAAAGAAGAACAAATATGACACATGATAATTTATGACATATTACATGGAAAAGATTGCATCTCCATCAAAAAACACAGATATTACAAAAGATGTAAAATGTTAGTGGGAAACATAGTTTCTTGCCTGGCCAAGGTTAGCAGTCAGCAATTTTAAACTCAGTATTTCCGTCTAAGTTCTTAATTTGATTGATGGGACCAGATTCTTTTTCACTTTCAGGAAAGCCCTTTGACCCAACCTTCCTGCTCAGCTGTGCTTTATCTAATGTCATCTGTGCCATTGTCTTTGGGACCCGATATGAATACAGCAACAAGAAGTTTCTAACCATGCTGCGCTTCATGAATGACAATGTCTCTATCTTGAGCTCTCCTTGGGGACAGGTAGGTACTAGGGCTGGGCAGTTTCGTTCGTTAATTTCGTAATTTGTTAATAATTCGTTATTTTTTTTATAACGAAGCGATAACAAACCATTCAGGAGCAACTAAAAAACGAAACGAATTTTTAAATCTATTTCGTAATTGTTTTGTAATTGTTTCGTTATTATTTCCGTATGTCTGGTGCAAGTTTTATAGTTGTTTCCCTCCCCTCTCCCTGGTTGCAAGCGGTCGGCATTTACCCCACTTCCGGGTCCCTGGCCTCTGCTTAAGTGGATCAAATTCTCCTCTCCTCCTGTCGTCACCTCACCTCGTTCCTCACTCTGGCCTGCGTGCATTGGGCAAAGAGACACAGCAGTGCAGCACTCAGAGACCCGCTTGTTGCCTGCCTAACCTCCTGCCTTCCTGGGCAGGGGTTAAAACTGCTATTATTATTATTATTATTGAGAAGCATTGTCAAACCAGAATAGAGATTTCACCCCTCCTCTCTCTCTCTCTTTCCCCCCTCTTTCCTTCTCCGAGGTTAAAACTATTATTATTATTATTATTATTATTATTATTATTATTATTAAGCATGGATGGCCATCTTTCAGTAGTGCTTTCACTGTGCCTTACATGCACGAAGGCAGAAAGTGGTTTGTTATTAATATTATTATTATTATTATTATTATTGAGAAGCATTGTCAAACCAGAATAGAGATTTCACCCCTCCTCTCTCTCTCTCTTTCCCCCCTCTTTCCTTCTCCGAGGTTAAAACTATTATTTAAAACTATTATTTTCACGTTGCGCAACCGCGTCCGCCATTTTAACGAATTGATTCGTTAATATTAACGAAATTTCGTAAATATCAAACTTTTTAAAAGGAAAATTTCGGAATTCTTTTAAATATCGAAACGCAAAAAAACCCAAAAAACGAATCGATTTTAGAAACAATTTTTTCCGTTGTTACCCAGGCCTAGTAGGTACCTTTCCCTGGCCACATATCCTTTTCCATATCAGCAAATATTTACTTCAGGTTTCCTGCTATACAGCATACATACTGTATGCAAAGTGAATCCTTGGAGAGCAGTGATTTTGTCTGTTACCAGGCATGACCAGCATGCAGGCTATATTTCATATCCCATTCCTTTGTGTTAACAGGGTTGCTTGCATCCAGAAAACACCTGAATCAGTATACTGTTGGCATGTTACATCAAACTCACAATAGCAGGGGTGAGAAAGCAGGCATAATCTTCCAGATCCGGGCAGTATTTCTCAAATGACCAATTTCATTATACTATTTAATTTTGTAGGCCTAATTCTACCACCATCTATATCAATATTGTTATTACATTGTATTGCACAAACAGAATTATGGCCTACTTTTCCTTTTAGACAGCATGTTTTACTTTCAACATGTGTGCCCGAAGACTATTTGCTTACTATTGTATTACACTCAAAATACATTTCTTGAGGATTTTGGAAGTTGCAGTTCGGACAATTGACCCATTTATAAGGTCTATATTAAGTGGCAGTGGTTTGGGTCTTTCTTAGTTTTCTTGGAGATCATTAGCCATGAGCACAACATTCTGTATGGAAATAATGACTTCTGCTATTGAGGTATTCCTCTTCTCTTGTATTTGAGGGGTCAGAATGCATTTTAAATACATTTTTGGAGGCATGAGGTCTGAAAGCAAGTAGTACGAAGATATCTGGCAAGAACAAAAGGACTGCAATAGAGTTTTGGCACATACATACAGGTCCAGCATTTGAAGGAGGGAGACAATCCATGGGTGCATTTTTCAGGAAAACCGCGTCAGGTATAAGAGTAAAACTTCAATGAAATAGGACATTTCTACTGTGGCTTGCTTTAGTGGAGGCAACAAGGTATAGTGGTTTGAGCATTAGACAAGGACTCTGGGACAACGGAGTTCAAATCTATGATTGGCCATCTTTACTTTACAATTGTTTGGATTTATTTCTTCCTTTGAAAGAAATTATTTATGTATTTCCAATCACTTTTGGAATATAAATTCAGTTGCTAATTACCTTGTTACAGAAGCTCAGTTCATCTATATGTGTGTATAAAAAGATTAATCTCTGTTTCTTGTCATTCCTTTTAGCTCTACAATATATTCCCCTCTTTCATGAATTCTATTCCAGGACCGCATCAAAGATTTGTAGCAAACAACTTAGCAACAAGAGAGTTTATTTTAGAAGAGGTTAAGTGGCACAAGGCTACTCTGGACTCCACTGCTCCTCGAGATTTTATTGACTGTTTCCTTATTAAAATGGAACAGGTAAGACATACATTAAAGCATCCTTGATGACCCCCACAAAAAAAGAGATTGTTCTTGAAATTTGTCAAAGATAAAACATTCCTTGGTATCCTATTTCTTTCTATCATTTTGTCTTTGCAAATGTTGCCTTGGATTGGATGCAAGTAATATGTCATAATTTCCACAGTTATCTTGCTTCTGCCGAATAAGTAAATATTTCTGCATCTTTCTCACATGGAAATTGGCAAACCACCTCTGAGTATCCCTTGTCTTAAAAACCCTATAGAATTCATAAGGTCACCATAAGATGATAGGCAATCTGAAGGCATATACGAAGCATCTAAATACACAGAAAACTGCAGAATTCTTGCCAGTGTTTTACTCTTTCCAACTAGATTTCCTGATTGTTGAGAAACATTATTCTATTTCTATAGGAAAAACAAAATGGTGCATCGGAGTTCAGCATTGACAATTTGATCATCTCCACTATAGACTTGTTTCTGGCAGGAACAGAAACCACCAGTAGCACCCTGAGATATGGACTCATGATTCTCCTGAAATACCCAAAGGTAGAAGGTAAAATACTATTAGCAGTTTTCCATTTCACTGAAAAATAGTTGCAATAGTTCCTCATAAATCTTATTCAAGAATATAAATTGGGGAGCTATTTTTTTTTAAAAAGAAAAGATCCCCCATCCTTGGTCAGGAGCAAGTCTTCAAAGAAAATGTTCATAAGCTATCTGGAGTAATTGAGAAGCTTGTTTTATTCTCTGAGGGTTTTGTACCATATATTTTAGATTATTGATTGGTTTGAATATGCTTTACTATGTAGATGACATTGTCAAAAAATTACATTGAAATTTTGACTTGTTAAAATTATTCAAGATCCTAAAAATCCTACCAGAAGAAGTAGCCACACTTATTTTGCTTTGCTATTCTCATTTGTCTATACATATGGAAGTCTGGTTCTTGTGCAAAATCTTATTACATTTCTCTTTCACTCAGTCAAAGACACTCCTAATTTAACTTGCACAAGCAAGCCTGGAAAAGGGGCATCAGACTGTGCTATGTTATGAGTTTGTATATAAAAATGTTGCTTTACTTATTGGGTAAACGTGAGATAAATAAATGTTGGGAGAGGCAAAATAATGAAGTTTTATTCTAACTGGTTAAGTGTTTTAGGTGATTTGCATGGATCACTTTGTTTGAGTTTGAGGTGCCAAGTGTCAGCTTCATATGGGCCCGTTCAAAGTCAAAGGCCTGCCTGAATATCCATGTTTTCAGGTCAGAAGAGAAGAATTGAAGTGTGGGGGTTAATCTAATCTCTTTTGGGAGGGTATTAAAGAGCCGGGGGGGGGCACCAAAGAGAAGGCCCTTCTTCTCATCTCTACCAACTGCGCTTGAGATGGTGGTGGGACTGAGAGGAGGGTCTCCTCTGTCAATCTCAGAGCCTGCACCAGTTAGTAGAAAGAGATGTGGTTTCAAAGATAAGTTGGACCCAAAGTATACAGTACCACATCTACTCACAATACACAACATTGAAATTTGTTGATATTTCCACTGTCCAAATTCAGATTAGCACTCAACAATTTTTTCTCAACAATCATAAACTCTGCTACACCAGCCATCATGATTGGCAGTCTCTCCTTCACCCATTAGATTTACTGAAGAAAATTGTGACTGGGGAAAAGCTAGATGCACAATCAAGAGTGATCAAGGAGATGGAACATAGAATGAAAGAAAAGATAGAGAAGGAAGGGGAAGGGAAAAAGTGGTGGGGGGGGGGCTAGGGTGATACCTTCTACTTCTCCTTTACTCCAGAAAAAGCTGCTTATCTGCTAGTCAGCCACCTCCCTCTTTTCTCCCTCCCCTGCATTGTGCTTGCCCCCCCCCCCTTGTTTATCTCTGCACCGCCTTCTGGGCTGGGCACCTCTCTAGCAGAGCACCACATCCAAAGTCACTTTAAGGTCAGAACAAGACACCCAGTCATGTGAACAACAGTAAATTATTTGTTCCACACACCATTGATTGCTGGGTGCCTCGTTCTAACCTCACAACAAGCAGCTTTGCCAGAGGGGCTTTGTCAGAAAGGTGATTGGGTGGAAAGAGTGAAACAGCAGCATGGAGGGAAAGTGGTTTTTTTCTCTCCAATGATCCTTAACTTGGGAACCAAGGGGCAGAATTCTGGAATCATTATGTGTACATTTATCTAATAGTCTTAGAAACTGTGAATTGAATACATCTTTTTTTTAAAAAATCAGTTAATATGAATTTAACTTCTTTACCTGCTATCTGCATATTATAGCTCCATGTTTACAAATGAATAGTCCTGAAACATAACAAGTTGCTCATGGTGATAAACCACACTAATTGGGAAGCCAAGGTCAAAACAAACAACACTTAATGCTCTGAAATATAGTAAGTCCATTTGAGATTATTGTTTAAGTTTTCTGAAATGCTGTTAAATCCGCTTCTCCTATTACAGTGAAAGTGCATGAAGAGATTGACCGAGTAATTGGCAGAACACGGAAGCCTTGCATGGCTGATCGGGGACAGATGCCTTACACAGAGGCAGTCATTCATGAAATTCAGAGGTTTATCTCTCTGGCTCCCCTGGGTGTCCCTCGGGCAGTGATAAAAGAAACTCCATTCAGACAATACATAATTCCAAAGGTCAGTTCTCTGCTTCTATTTCCTGAACCTGAGTCATTATATGAGTCTACATTGATCATATTGTGGAGTTGGAAACTGTTTTATATGGCAGTGTAGATGGGGCCTATGTATAAGCAGGCAAATTGGTTTAACCCATTCTTTCTAACTAGGAGTAGGCAACTGAAAAGACAGTGTGGGACATTATCCACCCTGTTCTCCATTTGTAGGCTAAACCAGGCATGGAAAAACTTTGGCCCTCTGGGGCTTTGGACTTCAGCTCCCAGAAATCCCAGCCAGTTTACCGGCTGTTGGGAATTGTGGGAGTAGAAGTCCAAAACACCAGGAGGGTTGAAGTTTGCCCATGCCTAGACTAAAACATCGCTCCTAGAGTGACCAAAAGAGACAATATGTCATTACTAGTTTTGAAATTCAGTTGAAATACAGACATTTTAAAGGTTTTAATACAAAAATACAGTGGAGAAAATGTCATTTTTCTTCAGAAATTATTTATTGATTCTGCATCAATAAGAGATAAATGTGTGTTTTGTTCCTGTGTGAGCATAAGATCAGCCAGGGAGGCCCTTCTCATGGTCCTGCCACCGTCACAAATGTGGTTGGTGGAGACGAGAGATAGCCTTTTCAGTGGTGGACCTCTGCTTTGGAATGCCCTTTCCAGGGAGATTAGGCAGGCCCCCACACTGTCCTCCTTCTGGAAGGAATTGAAGACTTGGTTGTTTGGACAAACCTTTCAGGATGTCTAACCCCAATGGTCCGCAATTAATGACAGAGCACTGCGCTTTCATCCCATTCTGTAGTTCATGTGCTTACACTATCCCATTCCCCTGTTCCTGGTTATGGTAGGCCATGTTTTACAACACCATAGGTTATTGGGTGCTGTTTTGGATTTAAATCATTGTTTTATATGTTTGTGGTTTTATCTTTTATTGTATTGTGTGTTTATTTTATGCATTGTTCCAGGCACATTGTGCAGTATGTAAGCTGCCCAGAGTTCCTTTGGGGAAATGGAGGCAGGGTACAAAAATAATGTTGTTGTTGTTGTTGTTGTTGTTGTTGTTGTTGTTGTTGTATATAGAGAACTGTCAGAATTAAGGCGCCTTCTACACTGCCTTATATCCCAGGATACAATCCCAGATTATCTGCTTTAAACTGGATTATATGAGTCTCCACTGTCAGATAATCTGGGATAAGAAGATAATCTGTGATGCGATCTTGGTATATAGGCGCAGTGTAGAAGGAGCCTGAGACAACCATATTTGTTCAGAGTTTAACTGCCTTTCTCATTCATCTGAATCCACACTTTGCTATAAATGTGAATGTTCCTGGAATGATATAGAAACTGCCTAAAGTAGGGTGTATGAGTAGTTAATTGATTTAGGGTTTTACTCTGAACCTTTTAAGGTGTTACTCAAAGTGCCAAGACTAAGCTTTCAGCATCTTGGAAATTTATTTACATTTTGACAATTGAAGCAGCTTTATTACATCGAAGACCAGACACCACTGGTATCCTCTGCCCCCTGGTGGATTAAATCCTGCTTTGGTCATGTGCATGGGGATTGTATGTGAACATATGGATTTCATTCACATCTAGGGAGTATTCCCCTGTCTGTCCCCACAATGAGATCTTAAAGATTGTTTTTCCACTTGTATCTAACAAATTTACAAAGCACAAAATGGTTCCTGCCTGACCTCAGAATCTGTATGGCTTCTTGTATTCCATTTCCACTGATCAACAGTGACTTTGGGGCCTTAAGAATCTTTGTTTAAATTCTGTAAACCTCAGAAGCCTCCAAAAGTCAGTTTCATTTTCAGCACAAGCAAGTGAGGTGAAGCCAAATGGCTGCCATTCCTTTTTAAAGGAGCTGGATGAACTGGGAAAAAGACTGAGAGAACACAGAATTCTGGAAAATGCAGCTTGGGAAGGCAAAAATCCCTGTGGGAGATAATTCAAAAGATCCTGCCTAAAACTACATTTCCCAGAAATCTGCTTGCATCCCCAACGTCTGACTGTAGCAGCAGCCAGAATTATTGAATTATTGAATCTGAATCTGCAAAGAGGACAAACTGATAGTAGTAAGTAATTCTGTGCTTGACTGGGAGGAAATCCCTAAATTCAATTTCTGTGGGTTATGTTGTGTTGTATGTCATATATGTTGTGCTGTGTGTCAAGGCGATAGCTGTTGTGGCTTTTTAACAAACAAACATTTTGTCAAAACTTTTTTTAAAAATCCAAAAATCAGTAGATCCTGTTGTGTCATTATATAGAAAATTCAAGGAAATAGCTCCTGTAGTTTTTAAAAACATGTTTGTAAACATTTTGGAATTTTCCCCAAAATCAGTGGATTAGTGAAATATTCTGAAACTTGGTGGGCTAACAGTGGTAAATGTGTTCTATGACTGTAGCAAGTTACATGCCGATAGCTCTAATAATGAAAGGAGCCCCCAAAATTTCCCCACTAGCACAATTACTTAACAAAAAAGTAACAAAAAATTTATAATATGGACTCCATCCAATTTTGTAAATTATTCCCTTCCCATGCCCTAATTTAGTAATGAGTTTTGAAACATTTATCATTGATCGCACAAGCGTAATAACAAGCATACTGAATCTTTTGAAGGAAATTGAGGTGTTCGGGGAATGGGTAAAAACGGGGCTGTTCCTGATCTTATCCAATCATTTATTCTCTGCAGGGCACCACCATATATCCTATTCTGACTTCTGTGCTGCATGACAGCAAAGAATTTCCAAACCCCAAAGAATTTGATCCACAACATTTCTTACATGAAGATGGCACTTTCAGGAAGAGTGACTTCTTTTTGCCATTTTCAGCAGGTAACATAGACCCTCCTACATTTTCCAATAACCCAGAGAACCCATTTTTAGATAACTCTGGTCATTTGATTGTTTCCACTTCCCCTTCAAAGGGAAATGATGTGCTAACTGAATATTGCGGTTGGTAAGAACCAGTAGTAATTGATTTCCTTACCTAGTGTTAGTAAGATAATAGCTCCTTCCTGCAGCAGCTGGACAGAATATTGAAAAATTATGATGTCTCTCAATCATTTCTTTTCAACACAAAGGCATATGGGTCCACTGGACATAAGGCAATCAAAGTCCTTTTGAGCATATGTGTTTCTGTGTGCACACCATTATGTACACTGTTCATGTGTTTCTTTCACAATGTGTATTTGTTGTGCAGACTTTGCAGAGCCACATACAGTTCTATGATTCTTCTATGAACAAATTCAATAGTTTGCAGTATGATGTGAAGTGTGCTTTGAACCTGGAATAAGTGAAGCAGTCTCAGAGAGCTAGACTGGGGAAGTGTGTCCCTGCTGGTTCTCCTGGACCTCTCAGCAGCTTTCGATAGCATTAAGCATGGTATCCTTCTGGGCCATCTCTTTGGGATGGGGCTTGGAGGCACTGCTCTGCAGTGGCTCCAGTCCTTCCTGGAGGGGCGGACCCAGATGGTGGAGCTGGGGGACTCCTGTTCGACTCCCTGGCTGGTGGCCTATGATGTCCCTCAGGGTTCAATTCTGTCTTCCATGCCATTTAACATTTACATGGAACTGCTGGGAGATATCATCCGGAGTTTTGGAGTTTGGGGCCAAATTTATGCAGACAACACCCAACTCTATTACTCCTTTCCACCTAATCCCAAGGATGTCATTCTGGTCCTGAACCGGTGCCTGTCATCAGTAATGGACTGGATGAGGGCCAACAAGCTGAAACTAAATCCAGACAAGACAGAGGTACTCCTGGTCAGTCATGAGGCAGATCAGGGTGTGGGATTACAGCCTGTGTTGGATGGGGTCACACTGCCTCTGAAGACAAAGGTCCACAGTCTGGTGGTGATCCTGGACTCATCACTAACCCTGGAACTCCAGGTGTCAGAGGTGACCAGGAGCGCCTTCACACAATTAAAACTTGTGCACCAGCTTTGCCCTTACTTTGAGATGCCTGACTTGTCCATGGTAGTCCACACCTTAGTCACATCCCATTTGGACTACTGCAATGCTCTCTACGTGGAGCTGCCTTTGAAGATAGTTTGGAAGCTTCAAATGGTCCAGAAATTAGCAACCAGGTTACTAACTGGAGTCCTGTTCAGGGAGAGAACACTCCCATGTTGCAGCAGGTCCACTGGCTGCCAGTCTGCTTCCGAGATAAATAAAAAGTACTGCTTCTTACCTTTAAAGCCCTAAACAGCTTAGGTCCAGACTATTTGACAAACCGTATTTCCCTCTACAGACAAACTCAAACACTGTGGTCACCAGAGGAGGTCCTCCTATCAGTTTCACCCCTGTCCCAAGCACAACTGGTGGGAACGAGAGAAAGGGCCTTCTCCGTGGTTGCCCCCCACCTCTGGAACTCCCTTTCTAAGGAGTTAAACATGGCCCCCTCCCTCCTCACTTTCAAAAAACAGCTGAAGATATACCTTTGCTCACTGGCTTATGAGGAGGAGGAATAGTAGTTGGTAATACTACCATTATACCTCTGATTAATAGCTGCCATCCGTATCCATGCCCTGCTCACCCCACCAGCTCAATAGATAACTTGTCTTATGTCTGTTATAACATGCTGTGTTTTTATTTAATTTTAGTTTGTTAAGTTATAATCTGTATTTATATGTTGGGTTGTATAAATTTTATTAATATGGATGTATTGTTGTTGTATTTGGGCATTGAATGTTTGCCTTTTATGTTTGGAATCCCGCCCAAGTCCCTTTGGGGAGATAGAGCAGAATATAAATTATTATTATTATTATTATTATTATTATTATTATTATTATTATTATTATTATTATCATGGCTGGATCTTCACTGTCCTATTTCCCAGGATCTGATCCCAGAGTATCTGCTTAATTATCACAGATTATCTGGCAGTTTAGACTCATATAATCGAATTCAAAGCATAATCAAAGCATACAATCAGATTCAGGGATTTAGGGCAGTGTCAGCCTAAGGCCCTATCTACACAGGGGTGTGGCTAGAAAATACAGACTGAAAATGCACACTTGATCTTCATGAAAAACACTTGATAAAAAGGTTTGCATAAAATCAGATATCAGGTGAAAAATGCACTGCTACAGAGCACTGTATATCTCAGAGCTCCCCAAAAAATGAGACTTCCTTGTGGCATGCTGGTGTAGACTGTTCCAGCTCTTGTCCTCATTTTAAAATCTTGAAACAGTTGATGAATAATGTAAACAAAGGGAGCCATGGAGACATGGGTGGCTAAATGGAAGCACGAGAGGAAAGCAATTCCTATGAGAACTCTCTCCAACCATTCCTTTGTTTTCTGAAAGGAAACAGAGATTGAATTTACATAGTGGGCACCAGCATGGCATGCAATTCATCCCAAAGGGAAACAGGGTTCAAGAGATCAAATATAAACGCATCAGGAGTGAGGGTGAGGTGAGACGATAATAGGAAATCTGCATGTGTGCACTTTGTTATATCTGCATCAGTGCATTAACACTCATAAGCATTGGCAAAATGCTTATGAGGTGCAGTGCATCTCAGAGAGTCATTAAGAAAAAAAATGTAAAAGAAAACTTCTGGCGAATGTTCTGTACCTTTTGCAGTTCCCCTTAATCCATATTAAAAAAAACTTTCTGGATACCCTAAGGCCATTTCCTGTTACTAATGGCTTCCTGTGAGGACTCTCTTTAAAATGCTGGGATTTTTAATCCCACTTCCTTACTATGGATTAAGCAGCTGTCTGGAAGGACCCTAAGGTTGCACCAGGTTCACTCAGGAACTAATTCTGAATACTGTATATACTCCAGAAATTTTAGCCCAAAATGCTTTTTAAAAACTTGGGTCAATTTATCTAAGGGTCAATTTAAGCACTGTACCTCAACTTTTAACAAAAAAGGAACCAACCTTTTCTCTGAGTAGAAGGACAAAAGGCAAAAGCTTAGTCCATCCTAGGAGTATAGGAAGCACTGACTCCATCTACTCTCTCCACCACAGCACTGCTTCTAATCTTTTTGAATCATTGCGTGGGAAAACAGTGACCCTACTGCATTAGATGATGGACTTTTCCCTCTCCATGAAATGTCCTTTGACTTATCAAAATCCACTATTTATGGCCCCAAAGCATACCATTGACTTATACACGACATTGGTTTATACACATGTATATATAGTTTTTTCTATATTGATTTATTAAAATATTTATGTCTCACCCTAAACATCTAGAATCACAGGCTAGGGTATAGATGGTTAAACAACACTGAAAAAGTAAATCAATTTTAAAACATTCAACCAGTAAAATGGTGCACAAAAATTAAAAACCCAGCAGGGCCTGAAAACCCTGTGTGAAGAGCCGTTGTTAAACTTGGCATTAAAGTAAAGACAATGTTAGTGCCATTGGGCCCCCAAAGGGAGGACATTCCACAATCGGAGTACTCCAGAAGAGGAGGCCCTGCTAGTGGAACATGGCATTCAGAATATCAAAGAACACAGAGTTGATCTAGATTAAAGTGAGGTCAGAGCCTGCATTTTCAGTATGCAGTAGTATCATATCATTTACATATTTTTCAGAATTGTTTCAAATTATTTTAAATGCACATTCTTCCTAATGTTGTTTCAGTGTTTATGATGTCATGTTTCAAAAATCCTATACAGAACTATTACTCAAGGCAGGATTCCCAGTTAAGTGTGGGGAATGAGGACTTCAGCACTTGTGAAGTTCTTTGACTTTCACTGTAAACTAAGGACCCTTCTACACGGCCATATGAAATCCGGATTATCTGCTTTCAACAGTCTACATATGGCAGTGCAGACTAAAATAATTCAGTTCAAAGAAGTAATGTGGATTATCTGCTTTGATAATCTGGATTATATGTCCATGTAGAAGGGGCCTACCAGAAGCAGAAGATATTATACAAACAACCGTACTCTCAGGAGATGTTCTTGGATGAAACACTTTCTTTGAATCCCCAGACATCATCTTTATTTTGCCTTTAACCACTAAAGAAAAATCAACTTTACCTTCTCCTTTGGGTTTCCTTGCAGGTAAGAGGATCTGCATAGGAGAAGGCCTGGCCCGTATGGAGCTTTTCTTGTTTTTCACTACCATACTGCAGAACTACAAACTGAAGCCTCTTGTTCATCCCAAGGACATTGATATCACACCCTTATTTAGTAGTGTAGGCAATATTCCTTGGCCCTATCAACTCTGCATTCTCTCTCGCTGAGAAGATTACTTCTGCTACAAGTGGAATATGTAGACCTGGCACACATGATGGTGTAAGAAGCTCTACTTCTTTAGATTTAAAGGATCACTTTCTAGTCTTTGTTTCTGGAAGGGGAACAAAACACATGAAAGGAGGCTTGAATTTTCTGCTACATACTTTATAAACCAATAGTCTGTTTCCTGTGAGTGCAAAAGAATAAACTTTTTATTTAGATGACCTGGTCCTTTACTTTAGTGGGTTATTTGGTACTGGTTCATTATCCGGGTGGAGGCCACTAAGAGATGCTAGAGAGAGGATAGTCCATTTTACAGGGGGTGGGAGGATTAAAATCAGATAATGTGGATTTTCTGTTTCGATGACATGGATTATCTAGTAATGTATAAGGGACCTCAGGCAAGGCCCTACTTTCCTTCTCTCAAGACATTTGTCTGTAAAAGAGGGAACTAACTTTGTAGGGCTATCATAAGGTGACAGTAAGGTCCAGTCCCAAAAATGTGGGGCCTGTTGGGCTTTTACTGGAGGCATCCAAACAGTGCCTCTGGAAAAAATGAATTAATTTGGGACAAAGCAGGTAAACCAATTAAATTAATTAAATCAAATTAATTAGATACCTGGTAAGACCTGTAGTTTTGGTAACATCCAGGCTTTACCTTTGGACAGCAAGCATGACAGCACCTTGGATGTTGAACCAGACTGAAATTGTCTATATTTTTGATGACAATGTTTTTAACTTAATGTTTTATTTACTGTTTTAAACTGCTGCTATTTGTGTTTATATTTGTATTGTGTTTATATTTGTATATTGAGGCTTTGAATTGTGGCTGGTTTGTAAGCTGCCCTGAGTCCCCCCTCGAGGGTTCAGAAGGGCGGGATAGAAATATTGGAAATAAATAAATAAATATCAGGTGTGCGGCCAGTATGGATTGGGCTTCAGAGACTGCATCATGTGCTCTCCGGGCTCAATCCACACAGCCCTCTCAGTTGTTTGAGCTTCAGAAGCACCAAACCACCCCAACCCCAACCCCAAAGTCCTTAAAAGAAGAAATAACTTACATAAGGCACTCCTGGAGTGATTTTCCTTCTCCCCCCACCACCTGCTGGTGCATCATTTCTACAAGCCAGGAAGAGTCCAGGAGTTCCTTAATGGTGGGTGGGTAAGTTATTTTTTCTTTGAAGGTCTTGGGGGGGGGGTTGTGGTTGTGGTTGTGTCACCAGAATGGCATCTAGACTTCCCCTTATGGGAAAGTCTTGTTTTTTGGAGGGGGTTGTGGTTGTGTCACCGGAATGGCTGGGAAAGTCTGGTGTTTTGGAGGGGTGCTGTATGGAAGTGCCCTAAGGGAGAAGTGTTTGAAAAGTAAAAGTTGGGTAAAAGTTATTTACATTATAACTCCTGGAATGTCAGTTAAAAATACAACAGCATACATTCCTACCTCTAACACAGGAACATTTGAGATATGTAGCCAAAACATGTGAGAGGAAAAGAAGATGACACAGAGTAAAGAAATCTGTCTTGGATGAGGATCTCATAGGAGATATCTCTGAGGGAGGAGACAGTTTTCAAATACAGTAGGTAGGCATTTGGGGACCATTCTCTGAGGTTGGAGGTACTAAGCTGAATATAGGGTCCATCAATAAGACATCAATAATATCTGCAGCAAGGGAAGCAATATTAACACTCTATTCTGTCATGGACCTTTTCTACACTGGCAGATAATCTACATTTTCTGCTTTGAACTGGATAATCTGAGGCCACATTGCCATATTGCCGTTTTATATAGCTGTGTAGAAGGGGCTTGAGTTAGACTTCATCTGGAATGTGTCCAGTTCTGGACACAACAGTTCAAGAAGGATATTGACAAACTGGAATGTGTGTCTTAGTGTGTTAACCAAAAGGTGAAGGGGAGTCTTAAGAGGTGACATGATAGCTATTAGGGCTGGGCGGTTTCGTTTCGTAATTTCATAATTCGTTAAAAATTCGTTATTTTCTTTTATAACGAAGCGATAACGAACCATTCAGGAGCAACAAAAAAATGAAACGAATTTTTAAATTCGTTTCGTAATTGTTTCGAATTCGTTTTGTATTCGTTTCGTTATCGTTTTGAAATCGTTTTGTTATTATTTCCGCATGTCTGGGGCAAGTTTTATAGTTGTTGTTTGTTTAATCAGTGAAAAAAATTATAAATATCACACCAACAGTCAACAACAGAGGGAGAGGGAAGCTTCAGAAGTTCCCCCTGTCCCATTTGGAGGTTTTTTAGCGTATTGCGTGGTCGCGTCCGCCATTAACGAATCGATTCGTAATCGATTCGTAGTTGTTTCGTAATTGTTTCGTATTGTTTTGTAATTTATGAAATTTTGTAAATATCGAACTTTTTAAAAGAAAAATTTCGGAATTCTTTTAAAAATCGAAACGCAACCCCCCCCCCCAAAAAAAAACGAATCGATTTTAGAAACAAATTTTTCCGTTGTTACCCAGGCCTAATAGCTATGTTTCAATATTTGAAAGTATGTTATACTGAAGATGGAGCTCTGCTTCTTCAGTGACTAAGACACAGATCAATTGATTCAAACAATTGGATGTGAGATTTCACCTAAACATTAGGGCTACTTCTACACTGCTATATAAAATGGAAATTATCTTTTTGAACTGGATTATGTGGCAGTGTAGACTCATATTCTCCAGTTCAAAGCAGATAATCTGAATTATCTACTTTGATAATCTAGATTGTATGGCAGTGTAGAAGGGGCCTAAGAAGAACTTTTTGACAGTTTGAGTTATTTGACATTGTAATATTGTGGTGGAGCCCTTTTTGAGATTTTTAAAGAGAGCTAGATGGCTATCTGATAGGAATGCTTTGATGATGTATTTCTGCATGGGAAGGGGTTGGTATGGATGGTCCATTTTGCTTTGAAAGATTTTTTATAGTATCCTTGATAATTTGAATTTGGGAAAATGAAGATTCAATATTATTCACAGTGGAAAAGGGAAAGAAAATGTATTTATTATGTTGCAAAATTTATTCTATTTTTGAGAATTCAATTTTTTCTGTTGTATGGCAAGTATTTTTGCTTGCCATCTTTGTTGTATTGGTATAGTGGAACCTTGAGTTATGAATGTCCCAACATAGGTACTTTTTGACCTATGAGTCGTCGTTTGGCCTAAGTTTCACTTTGACATCCAAGCCCCATTTTGACTTACGAACTGCGCCACACGAAATGCTTGCACCAGATAGAGCACACATACTTGCACCAGAGAGAGCACTCGTGACAGATGGAGTGTGAATGCCAGAACCATTGTGGTAAAAGGAGCGTATGCATGAACGCCAGAGAAGCACCACAAGAGTGAGTGCTCTCATGAGAGTAAAGGGCTTCAAGGGATAAACCTCTGTACCTCGTATCTCAGTGCCTCTGCCTGCATGTTTCTGCCTGTATGCCTTTTCCTACTTGCTCCATGCTCTTTTCCCTTTGGGGGATTGCTGCCTGCTTGCCTCTTCTCTGCTTTTGGAGATAGCTATCCACTGAGGAAGTTTGGGTTAGTTGATTTTATGTATTTTTTATTCCTGGTATGTTTTACTTCAAGAAGTGAGAGAGGGAGAGAGAGGGCAAGAGAGGGAGGCTGGAATTAGTATGGTATTGTATGGAATGAAGAAAACAATGTTACACTGGCCAACACATATTTTGTTGCCACAAATGTGGTTCCTTGCAATAACTTATTGCTTCAACAATGTTGAAGTTGAAATTTCTTTGTTTACTGTTGCATATGAATGTGCATTTATACATTATTTGTTATTTATAAAGTACCTTTTCTTTTTTTAAAAAAACATGTAACAAAGATGGTTGGGGAAGGGGTTTGGGACAGAACAAATTAATAGCATTTCAATGGAATAATTCATTTTGAGATAATAATGACAAACCACTTCTGAGAATTCATTGCCTATGAAAATCCTGATAAATTATTTGAAGGCACTTTAGAAATAGGCACCTTTTTTGTTTTAAAAAACTGAAATATTGGTTTGCTAGCTTTAAGGGATGAATGGGGAACATATGATCCATAAAATATTGTCAGGCTACATTTCCCATTATCTGGTCTGGTGGGAGTAGCAGTCCAACAACATCAAGAGACTACATATCCCTTATGCTGCTTTAGGGTGTACAATGCTTTAAGTTGGATAGAGTCAAATTGTGTATGGTTTGTTAGCTGCAGGATCTACAGTATAAAGTTTATTAAGTATAAAATAGCTTCGGAAACGCAAACTGAATTATCAAATAATCTTCTGTGAGTTGTGGGAGAAATATGCAGCTAGTTAATTATCTTTATAGCCACTTTTTGCCTTCACTAATTTGTTAATGAACAGATTGTTGAGAGTGTACTTGAAACCTAATCAAGTCAGTAGATCCAGCCATCTAAGTATTAATTCCTAGATATTTTAAAGCAATGCTGATGGCTAAATCACATATAACATTTTCAAGCACAGTATAATTTGTCTCAGATGTTTCCCTCAGGAATCTTTTTATCTCAATTCAATTGCCCTTTAGAGAAGCCTCCAATTAGGTTTTTTGTTGTTCTGATTTTGTAAATTTATTTATTTACTTTCTTTATACCCCACCTTTCTCACCCTTATGGGGTCTAAAAGCGGCTTACAAGCTCTGGCAACAATTCAATGCTTCATCATAGACATAACAATAAAACATACCCTTTCAAACTATAAAACTGTTAAAACATATGAACAATAAAAACACATCAAAACAATAAAACAAATTATAAACATACAATTTTGTCTTGATTTTCCATACTTACTCATTTTTCCAGTATGTTTTTTATACTTTTTAAAAAAATCAAGGTCACTTGTAAAAAGGAATACATGCTTTGAAAATGTTCACCCACCAGTGTTTCTGAAAAAAGAGAGGTAGAGATTTATTCATTGGCTTCAGTTTCATACAGTCAACCATGACTATAGAATCAGGGCCTTTTTTTGACATAAAGGCTACAAAAAGACAAACAAAGTAGCTAACAGATGGGGAGCATTTGTGGTTTTGAAAAATAAGGAGCATTTGAAAGTTTGTTATATAACACTTTTAGTGTGAAACACTTCAGGAAGGCAATATTTAATACTTTTGGGAGTCTGATTTGGGTGGGTGTAAGGTGTCATTTACTTCAGGCATCCAAATATTTTGTATTGTTCATGATGTGATTTGTATTGTTCATGATGTGATTCCTTCCCTTATTTCCACCACTTGATGTATTGTAGCCATGTTTAGACATTGCCACATATGCCTCAACTAAGCTACTCCCCACCATTATTGTTTTATCTCTGTGGAAAGTGACACATCTGAACAGATTTACATATGAAAGTCCTCCACATGAACAAGGATACTGCAAACCACAGATTATGCTTGGGTAGAAAGTCTCCACACAAACACGAATTTCTTCTCTTCAAACATATTACTGATGAAGCTATGG